TCTTTGAAAATGAAAACTTTTGTTTCGATTTTGTACTAAATGACCATTGTTTATATAGTTGGAAATATGTTTCTACTAACTCAATGTTTTTAACATTCCTTCATTTTTCTGTTTTATGTCAGAAGAAATTACTCAAATGCTTACGATTTATTTTTGGTTATAGGTGAGATCCAAATCTCAAATGCTTATGATGTAAGTCAGATGTTTGTTAATCCTGAAATACCAGAGGCAGATGAATTTAAACAACAGTATTTATCTTCTTCAATAAAAATGTTTTCACTTTATAATACTATAGATTAAATTATAAAAATTATTTATAATCGCAGAGGCAATGATGATTATCAAGCGTTAACCCTGGCTGAATCAAACGAGAACAAGCTTGAGTTGCATATAAAGCGAGATAAATGGTTGCATTATCCTCAAAAGAATCTTCAAGAGTTACTTGAAACATCTGAGGAATTGCATTTTCAAAAACTATACTAATATGGTTTGTGGCATCTCTTTAATTGTTTATTTATGGATTTATCTTTTTTTAGGAAAACTATGTAGGGTTGTTGCGACAGTCTATGTCATTGATACAGATTAGGGATGGTATTATTTTGGCTGTTTAAGTTGTAACAACAAGAAGGTTTATCCACATTCCAGAACCGTTAGAAATTTGAATTGGAGAGAGATTGTTATTTTCATTTGGTGGTGTGAGACATGAAAATCGAAAGTAACATCTGTTACTCCACGGTATTAAAACCTTATCTAATACTCATTTTTAACATTTTTACATAGTTGTATATAATCTAAACTAATTTACGTTTATTATTTTTTACTACATATTCAAAATCCATTTATTGGTCAAATATGATACTGGCGAATCTCAATTCATGTTATTGGATTCTATTGCTACATGAGTTATTCATGAGTCTTCTACTATCCTACTAAATTGTTCTTGGGAAGAAGTTAGTACTTCTCAACATTAGCATTTCTATTACATATTGTAACCCGAAAAATATAATATTAAATATTTAACTTCACAGCTTGAAGAAGGTGATCCTTTTCCCGATTCAATTACAAAGTTGGTTGGACAGACTTTTATGTTTGGAGTCTACGTTCAGAAAGACAATGCTTCGAGTGGCTGCTATAAAGTTGGAAATGTCTGGAAAGATCTACGTATTCTAATGACGAGTAAGATATCAGAAACTTTTTCTGCTCCAACCCAAACAAGCGAGGTAAATTATAATATATGTCTTATGAGACCATTTTTCAAAACCCAAAAACCGATCCCCAATTGGGTCGTACTCATACCCGAAATGGTACCCAAACTCCCAGTGGTATCATGTGCGAAACCACAGATATCAGCTCCAACTATTGGAATCCCAAACAGTCCGAAGTTGAGAATCCCCGAGATCGAGTAAGCCAAGTTCTCCCATTTTGCAGCATTATCGCCGGTCCAATGAGACGTGTATTTCCCCAAGCTAAGGGGTGGGACGGATCCGGATATCCGGGAAATTTGAAGTATCCGGATCCGGATTCGTCGGTATTCGGATCCGGATTCGTCGGATCCGTGATATTAGTATCCGGATTCGGATTCGTAGCTTCCAAGAGTCTATACAAGGTATGCGCATCGTATTCACAAACGTTCCCAAAATGGATAGCGGTTGCTGGTACTGTTATTATTTGTCGAATTTTTGTTCCCTAAGTTGTTGATCTTATAAGGAGGATCATCCAGTGGAGATCTAGGGGGCGGAGGTGAAGTAAGGAAATTTGAAAACTCATTCATGTCAAGCCACACACCATCCTAACGGAGAGTTTCCTGGAACATCTTGATTTTGTTGCTCCAGAAAGCTGCAGCAGCTGGATTCAAGAATTCAGGGTAGTATACTTTCCCAGGCCAAACTTCACCGAGATAAGGCTCACCATCACGTTTAATGAACACATCTGCTTATATTCCTCTGTTATATGTCCCGTAAGAGGAGCTATTCACACCAATGCCTATAAGAAAGCCCAAATTTTCTATCTCTTGAATCAATTTGCAAGAGACTCTAAGAGGTTAGTATTAATTTATACTTAAATCCAAGATCATCACGTATTTCTGACCATTCTTGTGAAGTGTATCCGCGAATGATTTCATCTTACCTCAGGGAAGTTCACGGGATCCAAAGTGAAGTCTTTGAAGCCGTCCATGTAATCAATGTCTGTCCACATAACCTCAAGAGGTATTCCAGCTTTTGCAGACCCATCAACCACAGATTCAAGGTCTGAAACATTGTTGTATCCATACCTACACTGATGAAATCCTACACCAAAAGTATATCCTATATAAAGTAATTAATTATAGAAACATATTCAAATCAAAACAACATCTCATCGGCAAGGTTAATGGAGCAACATGTATCATTTTCTAGTGACTACGAAGAGGTCTTGATCCGTCCAAACCATGTTGTTAAAACTATTTTAGAGATCAGATCCCTCGCAACGGAGCTAAACCATGTGACCTCAGATCCCTACCATTGTATATCATCATAAGTGTATATGCTGCCGATGTCAGCGTTCCACATAGTCATTGCATCGCTGGGAATCAGCTTGAACGATCGCTTTGTGTGCTCTCCGAGACCGTACAGATTCGATCGGGATTCCGGTAAGGCGGAAGTTAGTTGGAGGAATTGATCTTTGAAGACGAAGTAAGTGATTGGATTTGATGGATCCGGCGACACGTCGAAGAGGATGTTGCCGGAGGAGGGTCTGGAGACGGAGAAACCGAAAGGCGTCGTTTTTTGGAGTGTAAATATTAAGTCTAATGATGGATCTTCTAAGGAAGTGTTTTCCGATGAGTTTCCACCACTCTCTTCCGTTAAGAAACGGCGAGGAGAGTGGATGTTTACGGTGCGAGGTATAACGGTTATTTTTAAGATCTTTTGCTATATCATATTAATTTTTTTCAAGTATGGATATCATATTAAATTACATGCATATCAAATTAATTAATCATTAGATATTACTATAAGTTTTGCGAGAATATATATCAATATTATTAAAAGAGAAATATTTTGAAAAAATTCTACTTATACAACGTTGTTACATCCTTTCATTTGCTTACTAATATGTTGGTCTTATCTAAAAATTTGACTAACAATATGCTACCTTATATTTTTCTAACAATGATGTAGTTAATTCTTTTATTTATTAGGTCCAGATCTTCTTAAACGATGATGTAAAATATAAGATTGGTATAAATATTTCATCTACGAGAAGAAGATATATATCTATACTATTATTTGCGAAGTGATTTTTCGCAACGGAGCTCCCACGTTAAAAGTTGGAGTGGTTAATATCGATTATATCCTTAATGAAAATAATATATAAATTACATACAAAATAAAAACGAATTTAAATTATTTTGATTAGATAAGTAACTAAAATTAATAATAATCATAAGAATTATCCAAAATCTAAATAATATCTTTATAAGAAAAAAGATAATTCTTATATATATAGTGTTGTTATCCAGAAATATATTTTTAATAAAAAATAAAAAAAAACACATAAATAAATATTCATAAAATAAAATTTTTAATTGTATAAAATTTAAAAGAGAAAATTAAAATTTATAATATGTAATTATTTTCAAATTAAAAGAATATAATAATATAATATAAGGATATATATATATATATATTTGTGAAGTTATTTTTTGCCTCTCAAGTTACACGATAAATTAAATATATTTTTATATTTTATATAATTAAACCTTAAAAATGAATTAATCATAATAAAATAAAAATCATTCCAAACTAAACAAAATACGTGTTTGACCAAAATAAATTCAAATATATTGTATTATTATATAAACTAATATTATTCTTTCTTTAAGATCAATTTTTGAATGTATATTTATCGATTCAATTTTTCAAATTGAAAGATAGATTTCTATATTTTTTATCAATTAAGAAGAAATGAAATAGACTTAAGATTTTTCAAAGTGTTAAAGAAACAAATAGATTTTTAAAAATTTGTGAATAATTTTATCATGCAAAAAAAAAATTGATGTTTTAGGTCGAATTTTTTGGATACAAATAATCATTTATTTTGATAATTATTTAAATTGATTTAAAAATAATTAAGCCCGCATGTGCGGGTAAAAACCCAAGTTAAAATTATTAAACATACCAATACTCATATATTACTATATGCTGATATAACCCAAGTCTTGAACTTAACCACTCTTGCAATGAAAAACCACTATTATTTTTGGAGTGCATATTTTATGAAATTTAATACACTACCAATTCAATATAATAAATTTTATGCTTTTAAGTTTATCTATGGATCCGCCATATCACCTGCAAATTCTTTTTTTTTTTGGAGAAAAAATCACCTGCAAATTTAGAAAGTAAAAATATGAATATAATACTTTTAAGTTATGATATCAGATTTTTGAAAGCATTCGATCCTTAGTGGAGCGGACAATACGGATTTAACTCGCTTTTTAAACTAGATGAAACATGAGAAACTCCAAACAAAACTCAAAAGACATTTGCTTCACAAATTTGGCTTACAATGTTGATATTCATTTTTTATTTTTTTTTGCTAAACTTTGGTTCAGGTAAAACTTAAGTTTGGGTTTGCAAGAAAGCAGAGAATCTAAACTAGAGACTATGATGAGTTTCATACAAAAAAAAATTCCAATTTCCAAAAGATTGAGAAGATTTATATTTACAAAATAACCTCAACAGTCAATCCTTTACAATCTTTTTTCTTTTGCTAAAATTTTGTGGTCCTTTACAATTTTTTGCTAAAGTATATTGGTTTGAAGCTAACTATTACTATTCGTTGTTTTATATTGCTTGATTTACTTCAAAGAAGTGATCATAGAGCCAAAAACATACAAACATATTTGAGATCATCCATGTTGCCTTCAAATGTAATTATAGATTGAGATACATAATCACTTATTCACTTTACACAAAAAGAGCAAGTAAAATTAGAATGAATGTGGCACACGATTTTACATGTTTTATACCAATTGTTTCTACATAATTAATTAATTAATAAAGAAACACATTTTCTTACACTACCAAACGCAAATCTAAAGCTAACACACACACATGCACATCTAACCTTCTAGACAATGGTTACAAGCGACATTGAATGTTGAATATTTTTTATTTGAGTAGATAATACAAACTAAAAGCTCTGGAGTGTGGATGAAACAAAGCTTACCAAAAAGGAAAATAATATAAAATGCACTTTCGTTTTCGGTAGCTCCTTCCATTATCTTTACTCTTCCTCGCTCCGACGACGGAAAAGTTTGTAACGTCTTAAAGATTCCAACCTTTGCAATTTCATCTCATCGTTGAATTTTCTTATGAAAGCTTCGACTCGTGAGTTGAGCTCATCTCTTCCCATCGACAACTCCTTTTTCAAATTCACCCACGACGGAATTCTATCCACCAACTTCTTTCCCGACCCCGACGACGACGACGGAGTAGGCCTCCTTGCTCGAGATGGTGATGGACACGACGATGTGGACATTCTTGAGTCGTTTCTTGAAGTGACGTGACCTTGAACCGTGCTAGGTTTCGTTGGGTTTTTTTCGGCTTTGACTCTTTCCCACGTCTCATCCATGGTCTCGTTCTCATCACCGGATTTGTCATCTGATATAATCATGTTAATCCATGTCGATAGAACTTTATAGTTGATTAAATTTCTTAATGGTTTTCAATACAAGTTCTAAACCATTCTAACTATTGGTCAAAAAGTAAATATTCTAATTAGATTACATGAAAATATCATTTCATAGGTAGACGATCTATTTATCCACGAGAACTATTATATAGCATCAGATCCCCACCAAACTATGACCTCATGCTTGATCCGCACGAATTGATATTTGTAAACATATTTCTCCTCGAATCAATATTTCAAAACTTAATTATCTACATATGATGGTTTTAATTAGTTTATTCCTAATTAAACATCTTAAAATCAGTTAAATCAAACCAAAATTCAATTTTGTATATTTTTTTATTAGTTTCCATTGGTGATGTATTTTTAGTTTCTAATAAATAAAACAGAATCTTTTTCTTTTGTAAAATAAATCCATTAAAATATTTACATAAGGATGTTTATGGAGATTCAGGTGGAGATTTAATGGGTTTATTTTACAACGGAAAAATATTTTGTTTTGTTCATTAGAAAATAAAGATACATCACAAATGGAAACTGATAAAAATTACATAAAAATTGGATTTCTGTTTGGTTTACTTGATTTTAAGATGTTTGGTTTAGAATAAAATAATTAAAACCATTATATATGGGTAACTAAGTTTTGAAGTATTGATTCAAAGAGAAATAGGTTTGCAATTTTCTATTTATGAAAATCTATCATGAAGTCATAGTTCGGTGGAGGTCTGATGTTATATGATAGTTCTCATGGATAAATAGATCGTTTACCCCATTTTATAATAACTGAATGTATTATAGATTAGTCTGGAGGCAAAAGTCTATGTATCATATGTTTATAATTTTATTGAAAAATGAATTCATATATTAAATGACCATTTTCCTTTTGAAAAAAATTATCGTTTGGCCTGGATAATGTTTAACAGATTAAGCATATACATTTCCAACGTAACTGGGTAGAAAAGTCCTGGAAATGATACAATACTAGAAAAGAAGTTTTAGATCAGAAGTTGAAAAATATTTTAGATAACATTTAAAGAAGATGAATTAATACACTTGTCACCAATTGATTTTGTGTTAAAAACCTATATATCTTAGTATTGTATTAGAATTCGATGTATGCAATTCAACTCGAGATCCATAATCGATCAGACCTAAAAAACTGATCTTTTGTTTTTTTCTGAATATTTTGAGATTAATAGTTAAAAAACCATCGTCTCAGAATACATAGGAACTAAATATCAAACCGTAAGTTGGAAAAAATCATAGTTAATATTTATGAAAGTTGAATTATAATCCACTTTCACAAATTTATTTTAGGTTGGAACATTTACCTTAATATACTAAAATACGATTTCATTCTGGTTATGAGTTATAACGTAAAAAAGTTCAAAGTAAACTATATACTACGAACAAGTAACAAGTCTTTAGTAAAAAAAAAAAACAAGTAACAAGTCTAACATATACATAGGGACATATAATACTATAATATTATAATACGTACCTTGTGGAAAAGCCTTTAAAGGGACCGTAGGTGGACGTTGGAGTCCTGCAGGTTTCTCCGGCGTCGTTGACGGGAAACGAATCTTGGGAGAAGAAACCGGTCTACGATTACCCAAAGATCCTCCACTCTCTGGCCTCACCGTTAACTTTTCTTCCTCGTGAACTTTGTAATTGTGATCAAACGAATAACCGGATGATGAGTTATTCCAAGAACGGTCATGGTTCTGGCTATGGTTATGGTTATCGTCATCATGTTCATAGTGATGATACGTATCATGATCGTGGTTATGCTCCGTGGCCGAAGAGTCAGATCCATGGCCGAAGAGAGAAGAGGAGGCTGCGAGCGCGAAGATGATTCCGTTGATGATGATGAAGAGTGGGTTCAAAGTAGGGAGAGAGAAATGAAACCCGGTGACAGAGAAGTTCAACACTGATCGGAGCATCAGTGATATAGCTCCGACCAAACCTGAAGCGATGATCCATGCTCTCGACGTTAACATTATATTTTTCTTTAATTTGCTTTCTCTCTTTTGTGTGTGTTTTGGCCTCTGTTTCTTGGTATGAAAGCCTTAGTCATACCCATTCAACCCTTTGTGGATTTATACACACCAAACCAAAAGCGATGTTTGCTCTGTTAAAGTTAGATTAATATAATTAAAATAAATATAAACTAACAATATAATGATAAATAATGGATCAGTATATACTAACAGAGATGTTATGAAAAAAATATTATGGATGTATAAAGCTATAAACTATAACACAGTCTATATTCTTAAATAGGTAATAATTAACAAATTTATCATTTATTTTTGTTTAACAATTATTATTTCGATAAAAAAATGTATGGTTTATTAATATATTTTTATCTTGTTAAACAATTTCATATTGATCCAGTTTAAAATTTGAAAATTATAAATTTATTAATTTATCAAATAATTAATTAGAAAGTTTCTACTATATATTATTTATTTAAATGACATGAATATCATTCATAATACATATATAGAACCAACAGCTTTTGTAGAGAGCATTTCCACTGCGAAATTTTAAATAATTATCTATAAAATTTAGAAAATGGAGAGAGAACAAGAATGGTTTTCACTGAGAACCCCATAAAACATCTCCCTACATATATCGCCATCTAATATCTTTCTTTCCATATGTTCATAGCTAAGTAATTTAATTATTAGTTTAAATTAAATTTGATAACATAATTAAAATAATAATATTTTAATTTTTAAATTTTTTTGAGGTTCTGAGCGATATATAAAGTTGTTCTTTATAACCGCTAACTATACACATTTATTCTATTTATTCTATTGAAACTATCTCTGAGGCACCAACTTAAATTTTGTGAGTAAATTAGAACATAAACAATAGATAGCCTTAATGTTATGCTCTGTCTGAAAACTAGATAGCCTTAATGTTACTATCTGCATGCGTAATAAAATATATATATATATATATATGGATTTAATATGTAACTCATGGCGACATTAATTGATTGTTTCAAAATGTCATGACTAAAATTATTTAAACAGTATATCATATCTCTCTGCAGAAGATATATATTTGAATCTTATTTTATAATTGTCTATTGGTCTATTGGATCCACAAGATAAGAAGTAGGCCTGGGCATTTTACCCGGACCCGAAGACCCGAACCGGAACCGACCCGAAAATACAGGTTCGGGTCCGGGTCCGGGTCCATGCTGAAGTACCTATTGGGTCCTTTTTCTTTGGACCCGCGGGTCTCGGATCGGGTCCGGGTCCTACCCGAGACCCGTTCGGGTACCTGTAGTACCCGCAAATTATTGCATATATAAGGTATATTTAGGTGTTTGGGTATATTTTTGGTATTTCGGGTATTTTTAAAATTTTCGGATTCGGGTTTTCGGGTATAATTTTAGGTTTCGGGTAAAATTTTAGATTTTCAGAAAATATAATTCGGGTATTTGGATAAAATTTTGGGTATTTTTTGGGTTTTCGGGTCTGAATTTTTATAATTTTTGGATATTTTCGGGTATTTCGGCGGTTCTTCGGGTAATTTTCGGATTTTCGGGTCTATTTGGTTATTCGGGTCCTTTTCGGGTCCTAAATACCCGAACCGAACCGGATCCGAAGTATACCCGAAAATTATGGGTATTTTACGGGTATTGAAATTATAGACCCGAACCGACCCGGATCCGATAAGACCCGACCCGGAACCGACCCCAAAAGTTATAGGTACCTATATGGGTCCAAATTTTCAGGACCCGAAAGACCCGGACCCGACAAGACCCGACCCGAACCCGACCCGAGGACCCGGATGCCCAGGCCTAATAAGAAGCTTAGCTATATCTTACTAGAGATGGCTGAGAATTATTATTTATATTTTTAAATCCCTTTAGGAACTATAGGTTATGTGTATTTGGTCCAAACTAATAGAAATATCTATAGTGATTACGTGACTATAATTTTTATGAACTTATAGAATTTCTAATATATTCATATCAAAGACTGTATGCTAGAATACTATCTGCACTTTTGAATATAAAATGAGAGTAATTAAATATCTTGTTGCATTTTTCCATGGTTTACCAAATGAGCAAGGTAAGTTGGATGTTGACCTATTTGCTATCATGTTACTAAATATATACTATACGAGCTAGATCAAGATTATGGCCTTTGAGAAACTTCTTTTTTTTTGGAATATTGAGAAGCTAAAGAGGCAATGAAAGTTCACCATGCTTCTTACAAGGATCTATTATTCTAGTGTGTACATATGTAATATACACATGCCTTGGTTTATACGCATATGAAGTCAAGTAAATATGTTTGATCAAAAAAAAAAGAAGTCAAGTAAATATGTTTGATCAAAAAAAAAGAAGTCAAGTAAATATAATAAATTAGTTACACTCCTGACGTTGCATGACATAGCTGTCTAACTATGTATTGCCATGCACATACATAAACGTTTTGCATAAGTAATACATTGTACACGATCACGCGTACATTGATGAGTGGTAGACGTAACATAATACATATATGACATCTAGATTTTATATATATATATATAGAAAACCAAGTTTGAAGAATTATTCGAGCTAGAATCGAACTAATTAAAAACTACTTTTGGACCGTGATATCTATCTACTATTGTGTTCCAAAAAAAAAATCTAGTTATCTACTGCCAATTTTATGCATACTGATAAACCTAGCTGAACCAAAAGAATATGGTAAAAGTTCAAAAAAAAAGAAAGAAACAAATATGGTAATCTATTTTGTGTAAACCGACAGACCAAACCGAACCAAATGATGCACTTGTCTCGTCAATTAGGATTTGTGTTCTTTTTCCACAGTTGACAAAAGAGTTATATAATTAAACTATGTAGTTTAGCGTGGAAAATTCGTAGCCAGACAGCTAATTTCAGAAAAAGAAACAAATTCAAATTTGATGTGATGTGATGAAGTTTCGGGGGCTTTTACCTGTAGATTGATTTGCATCACCTAATTAAAGATTTAAATCTGTCACACACACAACATCATGCATGAGTCACAGTATCGACATAATCCATCAATTATAGTGCCTGGATATGAGTAATAATATATACGACGTGGACTAGTAAAACCAAGTGGATTGGAAAATGTATTTGCATCGCTCGACACTTTGAATTGACTTATAAATTATTATCTTACATGTCAAAATATCATCTAGATAGGAGTAATATATACGACGTTGACCGGGGATGATCCCAAGATTAAATATAGTGGGGTTAGAAAAATTAAAACGGTAAGAATTGAACCAGATTTTTGGGAGTTGATGAGATGTATTTTACCAACTCTACTGCCTAATCTCTTTCTTATATAAAACTAAATTTATCCATTTTTTTGTGGTGTCAAATAATCCATACCTCTGCAAATGGCTCTGGTCCGCCTCTGACGTTGACTAGTAAAACCAAGTCGAGTGAAAAATGTATTTGCATCGCAAACATTTTGTATATTTTTATTTGAGTATACACTTTATATATTGACCGATAAAATTGGGCTTATCTGTTGAATAACCAATTTTTTCTTTTCTTTTTAACCTCAAACGATTTATTTATTATTTCAATTTGATATAGTCTAATCTGATTAACCAGACTAGAATAAAATAACCAATGTAATATAATTTTCTATGAAGTAACAATTGCTGAGTAACCAATTTTGAAGTGATAATTAAGCAAATAACATTAATTTTGACAAAATTAAAAGAAAAACTAACATTTTCATCCTAATTTATCTGGTTATATTTTTTCCATTGCCATTACCTGGTAAATATGTGTTTTATGTTTCTACGTAACTCACGTAATATATAGTCAAGTGTATCTAAAAACTATTTCATATATGAACCATCCACGACACATGTTTATTGACCATATATATATATATATATATATATACACACTAAATATTCTATTTTATATAGCCGAAATAGTATAAAGTTATAACCTCACACCCACAATCCCTAATACTAAGCGTTACCCTAACCCTAACCTATAAATACTAAATTTCAATCACTAAACTTTAAAACCAAATATAAACTATAATCTATATTTATAATATTTTAAACCAATTTAAAATCTAAAAAATATTATATAATACTCTATAATGTTATACTATATTATATAAATAGTCATGAAAGAAAGAGGAACCATCCACACCACACATTTATTGTTACATACATATAGACTGAGTGTTGTATTCTGTATAGCAAAACAATATATGATTATAACCCCATCCACATCCCCTAGCATTAAGCATTACCCTAATCCCAGTTCATAAAGACTAAATCCTAAATCTCAATCCCTAAACCCAAACCAAATATAAACTATAATTTATGTTTATAATATTTTAAACAAATTTAAAATCTGAAAATAATATATAATCTTCTGTATATTATACTATATTATATAAAATGAAAAGTAGAATATACTTATGAATTAAAATCATTTGTGTGGGTGTGGTAAAAAATGATAAAATTGAGTTTATAAATCACTTGTGTCGGTATGGTTAGCGCGTAAACCAATATTCATATCAATAATAGAACTTCAAAACATAACATATCTTATCCACTGTAAAATTACATTTTACTCAACATTCATAAAATAGAATAGAACAAAACAATATTTGCAACATTTAAAGATGTAAGTAGATTATGGGTGGCTAGGTGGAGGAGGATAGGACGGTGTCTTTATCAACTTTTTTCGATGTACCCGGTAACGTTGTCGGTAACGTTGTCGGTGACTCAGTAGGTTTCAGACTCGGAAAAGCTTTGATAAGGGTTTTTAAGCCTTATGCAAATTAAAGTAGTATTTTAGATGTCAATCCAAGTTCTAAGTGTTTTGAAACAAAAAGATTACAAGCTATGCTTAATCTAAATTCAATCAGTTTAGAGAGTGTGAAATGATTTAAGAACAATTCAAAATGCAACAAATAACAAACTTTCTCTCAATTAGTGAAGGCTAGACTCATGGGAATATGTATTTGGCTTAGGTGATCAAGTTTCAATCTAAAAATGGC